TGCGGAAAAGTTTTCTCTCTCGTTTCGTATTTATGCATTCATCATGCTCTCAAATTCGACTGCGAAACTAGCTCTCAGAGTCACAAAAAAAAAACCATGCGTCTCCATGCAACACGTGGTGGGCCGCGTGTACTGCTAATGAAGTTAATTTGCACTTTATATTGAATGTGTATGAATTGGGAATTGGGTAGGTAGGGTAGAGAACTACTTCGGCCTAAGCGCCCATTTTGGGCCTATCAAGCAGAAAACATCCAATACATCAATGATTTCGGCGTTAACAGGTACATTATGCGTTTGGTACAATACTTTAGTTCAAATGTTACCGAACGAAGTCAATAAGAACGCGTGATATGAATGTTTGCCCCCAATATTTTCAAATACAAATGAAGCGCTCCGAAGACCCGGAGCATCCATAAAAGTGGTAAATTATTTAAACTGGTCCTATGGCTGAATGATTTTTTGCGCATTCATTTGTGGCCAGAATATGCAACTTATTGATCTTCTTTGAGATCCCGAACATCCTTAAAAGTGGTCAATTCATTAAACTGGTCCTAGAGCTACATGGTTTTTTTGCGCAAGCACTTGTTGATGTGTTTTCTGAATGGATTTGGCATTAAGGCCAAATTATGCACCCTGGAGGCCAAAACAGGTATCCAGATGATCCGGATTATCCATAAAAGTGGTCAATCACGCTTGCGACAACGTATGAAAAATCCGTGAATGGGTGTCTTCGGGAAAATTTTCATATATTTTTTGGACAACTTTGCAGTGACCTTGGCATTCTGAACAACTTTGCAGTGAACAGTTATTTCCCAGAATGCCAAAGTCTTGAGATATGATACATGCACAAGCTCTTACGTGCACTAGCGCCGTGTAGTGAGTAAGTTCCACACTTATTGTCAATCATTTGAAATGACTTGGTTAGCTTGCCAACTATGTAGAAGACTGTATTTTACTAGTTAGTCAGGATCTAGTGATAAAGCACATAGTAAATATCACATATGCAATAGAGTCACGTAACGGTAGCATTAGCAACTAACCTGCTCGTCATGTGAAAGGCCTTGTCAACTGAAAAAAATATTGTTGAGGACTGCATTTTCCATGAAAGTTAGGTTAATGAGATATAAATGGCACATAGTAAATCTCATATATACACTTACGGCGCCTAGTGACTGAAATCTGAACTTATATGTCCACCATCCGAAAGACCTTAGTCACCTGAAAATGTTTGCCCAAGACAGTAACTTCCTATATCACCGGGATCACGGGGTATTCCATTTTGGAACCATAAAAATCAAATCCCACATGCTACGTGTATTCCATTTACGCGATTCACTCGTGTAATCGGAACAACGTACTGCGAACACGAGACGAGGCGCCCACTGTTGTGTCGACAGTCTTTCATCATACAACATGCCAAAAGATCATGTGGATGTAATGTGGCGTAAGGTGTACCTCGGCAAGCTTTTTTACCATGCTAGCAGATACCACTCCGCCGCCATATCAGAAAATACCTTGACTAACATCATGTTGACATTCGTCACATGCAATTTTTCAGCATAATGTTTTGACATGCCACACCGCTGCCACAGTAGTGGGACAGTGTCTGACATCAATCGAGGTGCCCACTGGTCTGCATGTTTTGTGGCATTAGAGGAATGTTGTCATGCCACACCACCACAACAGTGGACGACGCCTTAACATCCCGACCGATTAAGAAAATCCAGTCAATAACATGAGGGGTACTAGTATTTATGTTTTGTTGGAAATCCCCTGAAAAAGTTTTTAGGAATATAGTATTGCAATGGTTATACTTCTTAAGAATATATACGCAAAATTAGGAACCTGGCAATACAAAATCTCACCCAATAACCCACGTAATTCGATGTGAAAAGTTAATGTTCACTTTATGCAACAGCTTTTGACCATCCATATTCAGTGTCATTACATGTTGCTGAATATTAACCATTCGCCAGTGTTATACTGCGATACGCAGATGTATCATCAACATAAACTAACGCACACAATCCATGCCGAATGGTACACACGAATATAAAGATTATTTCGATGATGCCGTCAGTAGTAAATCGTTTGTGTGAACGTATTTGATCATCGATGAAGAAAGATTTTTTTTTCTCTATTTCTTTATGTGCCATGATTCGTCGTTCCGCCGATACAAGGAAATCAGTTTAGTTCACTGACACATGGAAGTCCAACGGTTACGGAAATACACGTGAATTATTCAGTGAACAGTGAAAACTTCAAACACTGCCGATAATGACCATACATCAGAACCTTAGTCTTAACCACTTCAAACTAGGGAAAAACGAATAGAAGATTAGGAATCACATAGATGAAGACTAACTCACTCTTTTATCCTTGTTTCAAGATCATCCTCGGTGGACAAAGCCGAGTCTTGTCACAATAAACAAGGCATAAAAAGTAACAAGGACTAAGATGTGTTGATTTGATTACTGAAAAATTCTGTTCCCCTAGTTTGAAGTAGTCAGAACTAGGAATCGGTGGTATATCTTACATCCCGTAACGTACCACGAAAACGTGATCTACGCACGTTACGGGGCATCCGTATTGATGATTGATAGCAATATCGAACATTTATGGAATATAACTTTGATTCATACATTCCTTTGCAAACCAATGATGATGGTAATTATGCTCTTGAATCTCTGACTACCCAGACAACCAGAAGTCGTATAATAATGTACAGACAGTATCGTAAATTGCTACAGTTTTAGTCAAAATCGCATATAAGAATGGCATACCTCGCATTATGTTTAAGTTAAATCGTATAGAATGCAAATTTCCGACCAATATGCGATGACTCATTTTTCCATCGTACTGTATCACAAATTAAATCGGATTACATCGTAAGACTTTTCAAAATGAATTTGTTATTACAGATTAAATCGTATATGATGTTAAATCAACTCGTTTAAAATTAAATTAAAATATTCACGTATATGGCCTCCACTTTTGTACGTATAATCCATTTCTTTGCATTATATACGAATTGTTTGTTTGTATATATGTTTGCTACAGACTGAAAGTCTCTATAATAAAGCAAAAAAAAAAACTTTGAATATACGTGCATTCTGGTTGTCTGGGTACTTCTATAGTTGAATCAAGAGTTGCCTCAGTACCAAAATGCGAGGTTAAATTCAATTCAATTATAATAGACGACGATCCTCAGCTCTTGAGCCATCTGAAAAATGTCATTAGGAGGCAATATCAAAGAACACACGATTCTGCCATGAAAGTTATCTGGCGAGATTTGCAAAAACAAATTAAAAAGCGATTCTCTGTCCTGAGGAACAAAACTTTTGAGAATAATGTTTCGAAATTAGACCCGAGTTCTAACAAAAAATTGGGAGCTCACAAGTTCGTTAAAAGCTCAGAAACTTGCTAAGCAATTCGAGAATTTCCATAACTTCAGTTTGGGAGGTACTAGTCCTATTGAGAATCAGGTTGCTCGGGATTATCTAAATATTTTTTCTCGGGAAAATATTTTTGATGATTCCTGGGGGACTGATTTGGACGAAGAATGATTTATAACTTAAAAATTTCATAATATGAAAGCTTCAGGTGAACTATCATTACAAAAAATATCATTTGAGCTGTAATGAGCACGAACAAATCTCCAACCAAATAATTAATAATTTGTTTAGTAATCTCAAAATATCCATGTTCAACATCAATAATTTTAATTTTTTTTTAAAGCTTACCAAATGTAAAAAAAACCTTTTGAAACATTCAAATCTTTGGACAACGTAGAATAAGAACTTTTCGTCAATTTTTTATGCATGGTTTTCAATATTTCAAAAGTTTACATTTCAAAAGTTTTTATTAAAAAATATAAATATTGACCACGAACATTTTGAGCTATTCAAGTTTTTAACGAGTGTTTACTCAATATTACTAGCAAAAATTTACCGTGTCTAGTCTAGTCTAGTCTAGTCTAGTCTAGTCTAGTCTACACATACACAGCCAGTACTTGAAAGAATCCTGGAAAATGATACATCTATCATTTTTCTTGTCATTATTAATGCCTGCTGCACATCAAGGATGTGACTAGCAAAAATTTACCGTGTATATTTTTTCTCGATAGGCTTTATTTTTTCTACATCTTTGTTTCAGACAAATACGATTTATTGAAAAATGTAAAATACGCCATTCAAAAAAAATGCCCGAGGTTTAGTTCAAATGTAAATGAATGCCTGGAACAAACAATGATACAAAGTTTCATGCAAATCGGAGAAGGTCAAGTCAGAAATTAATTTTTGGGCTATTTGGCATGGATTTGGAACAACAGAAAAAGAAATACAAATGAAATGCAACTGCAATTGACCAGCTCAGCCAGAGTTGAATAAACAGAGCATCAAAAGTTCAGAAAAGCCGAAAAGCTCTATCACGAGCAAGCAACATCGGTCAATGGGAGGTACCACGCGGGAGAATGCAAAAAACAACAACGCATTCCACACACCGGTTCATGATCGGGCAAAATGAGTGCACAAAATAAGCACATTATGTTGGTCGACCGGCATTCTCTCGTTCCGTCTCCGTGTGCCGGGCTGAGCTGAGCTGAGTATAGAGTAGGAACGAGCGAGTGGCCGAGAGGTGAGAATGAGTGCAACGGGCGCGTGAAAATAAATCAAGTGCTACCTGCATAATTCGCTTGCGTAGGGCTGATACTTATGTTTATGTCGTCGGCGCTCGTTGGGACGCGTGGGGAGTTCCTAGTCTACGCGCCGTGCGACATTCCGATATTTTGGTAGCATCGCATGCACTACCACATAAGCCACGATAAAATAACAGAAAATAAAAAGCAAGCAGCTGTAGCGTTGGTAGTCTGCGTTAGCCGTTATGAGAGAAGACGTCCGAGCGTGTGTTAGGCAGAAAGAATAATGCTGAAGGAATATCCACAAGATTAAAAATATTTCATTATAATAAATTTTTCATTCATTTGGTGTTGCGCCGTCGGCTTGTGCAGACGCAATTTTCGTATCTTATTCGTACGGTCGTTTGGGTGGATCGCTTAGCTTCTTGATATCTTGGTCGCGGCTGAGACTAGTGAGTTGTGAGGTAGTATTTTGCCGTTCATCAACCAGTCTTGGTTGATCACTGACGCAGGCAGGTTCTGCCCGAGCAGAAACTCTTTTCGGTTTGGATATACCAGTGCTGGCTGATTTGGAGTCGGTCGGTCGGTCGTTAGAGTTTATTTTAATATCAAAATCGAGTCGCGGCCACGGTATACTGAAATTGGTGAAGAATTAGGTGGAACATATAAGCGATCTATATTTAACGGCGTGTGATTTCGTGATGTTGAGCAATCTGTTGATGTGTTGAGCCTTCTTTTTTGTTGTTTTATCCGATATTTCCGTGTTCTGAAAGCTAAACCTATTTCTTGTAGTGTTCGGCACAAGGTCTTTTTCGCTTTATAGGGGGGTTTTAATAAGCAATTTTTTTTTTAATAATTCAGATTGATTTGGTGATCGGAACAGGTAGCTAATAACTAGTGCTTGACAAGTGTTAGGAATTGTTGGATTAGATACATTGTTAGAAGAAAACCTAGATTCAGGTTCGAGTGGCATCAAGTGCTTGAACAAGTGCTTCAGATATGGGGTCCGAGACCCGAATTCTCGGCGGAAGTCTCCTCGTAGTCGCAGTACTTTCAACACTCATCATCGGAATACAGTCTACCAGATCACAGGTAAGGAATGAACTTAAATTATGAACAGCAGTGCTGCAAAGTATAATACACCGCATGGCTAGTTGACAAGTTCTTTGGAATTTTGATTCATTTTTTTTTAATTCTCATTCATAAGTATTTCGAGGTGAAGTATGCGTGGCTTGAACATTGTGTGCATCGTGCGACTAAAAAGTGTTTAGTCAAAGAAAATAAAGTGTGCCTTTATGATAGCATCATCATTTTTTACCCCACCAATACAGTTTCGGAAGAAACAAAAGGTAAAGTGAAAGATAAGGCCCACCATTCGGTCAACTTTGTATGCCGAATGGTTTGCTGTGATGTAATGGTATCATGAACTGATAAGTGCAAGTGTTCTACACAGTGGGTTCAATTATTTTAATGTCGATTTATAGATATGGTTTAAATCAAATTCCTGGAAATTGCTTTTAATTTACTACAAAAGTTACGGACGACGATTTAACTTTACCAAGTTAAAATTTATATAAATCGAAAATGAGCATATGTATTGTGCGCTTTGATATTTATTGGGAAATCGAATTTCAAAATTTGCAAAGTGAAATTGTTAACTACAACAGGTATTCCTGCAAGTAACGTAACTGACTTTTTTCACGTCCATCGTAGATTTTTTGCAAGTATCAACACAATCGCACACATCAACATAACTGATAGATGGAGGATTGTCTTCTTTTTCCGACGGTGGTGTAACTTTGTGTGGTTGAATGGTCGTTTGCGAGACATCGGCGATGGCAGTGACAAAAAGGCAGTAACTTTAAATCAAAGAATATGAGAAATCAATTAAAGATTTAAAAAATTGAAGCTTGAACCTATGCTGGAACATTTGGTTGAAAGTTATGTCTTTAATGACTATGCGTCACAGTGGGGCCGTTTTGAAGAAAAGGTGGTCAAAACTTTTCTCTAATATTTCTTGATGTTTTAGAGGTTGGCTGTCTATTCAGAAGTTGCTTAAAATATTATTCCGCATCTTTTGAAATAGTCATCAGAATTTTTACTAATCTAGTATTATGGAAACATATTGAAAGTTTATATTTTCAGTGATAACGGGTTCATGTTGTAGAAAGGTGTAGAACTATTCATTTTAAGACATTTTTTTAGTAACTTTAAATTCAGAATATTTAGATTTGGTTGTGTAATACTAGCTTAATAAGAATTCTGGTGATGAAGATGATGAAGATGGCCCACTGCTTACCCCCACAAAGGTTTGAGCTGGACGATTTATCTTTAAGATAATTAAGTATGACATCATAACCAGATTAGAAAACAAAAACTATTTAGTTACAATTACAGCTATAAATTACCTCAACACTTCTCAGTTGCTTCACAGCGATTTAAAAGTAGAAAGCTTAGGCGTTCACCTCTTTGTTCACCTCAAAACCCCACAAGCATTCCCAGCGATTATGAATAATCAACAAAGCATTCCAATACACTAGCAGCCCCGCAATCTGATGCTAACGTAATTTTCAGCATCGTCAAGAATGCTCACGAGCCCCCAACATTCAGCCAGAAAACATACTTATACTTCAAGGCATCTTCCAAATAAGCTTCAATGTTCCATTTTTTTTTTTTATAAAATGTTAATTTCAGTCAAACCTTTGTAGACAGTTCATATTTTTTTTTACAACTAATATTATTAAACCAAATATTTAAAATCGAGCGTGATGACAGCTATATATACTAAATAATCCGTTACAAACTGCGTCAAAATACAAAATTTAACAATTCTATTTTTATTCATCATACATTTGTTCAAAAGACAGCATTAACGTGTGAAATTCAATGTCTCTTAAATTGTGTAAGTGTAGCTGCACGTTTAATGTTTCTAGGCATCGAATTGAAAACATTTATTAATTTTAAATTCAATGGATTATGTGAAACACAGGTCAAGAAATGGGGTGTTCTTATTTCATCCGTGTTTCAAGTATTATTTCTATAAAAATCACCCCTCGCACAAATATCGAGGCAGCTAACCATTACATACTTTAAAAATTAACAACATAGTCAAATATACATTTCTTTGCTTCACCGACAACCATCTTAAAGCGTCTAGCATCAAAGTTGAGGAAGTGAATGTATCACATCTCAAAATCAAATGCATTATTTTACTCTGCGAGCACTGTAATGTCGATATTTGTGTTGCATTCGCATAAAATAAAATGGAAGGGCAAAAGTCCAGATGAGGAGAGATTTGTATAACTGTATTTTACTGGTAATCGTTTTTCAATAGACGTATTGGAAATTTTCTTGATGCCATTGACAATAAGAGAGTTGAACTTAAGTTTGTCATCAATAATCACACCAAGATATTTAATCTCCCGATCAATAGCCTCATCATCAATTAAAGTGGAGGCGTTCTCATTTACTCGATAGGTTTACTTATATTCAATCTCAATTGCTTATAATTCAACAATCTACTTAGAGAATGAAAGTCTTCATTCATTCATAATGCAGTACTCGTAACTCCTATATCCTAAATAAATAATTTAAAAAAAAACTCGAAACTTGATTGATCGTAACAATAAGGGTCTAGAAATTGTGTCAAACGCTCGTTTTAGATAAAAAAAACAGCAACAATTGTAACTTTACGCTCCAAGTTATTTTTTCACTACGCTAATACAAAATTCAACGCGGTTTCACAATAATGACCTTCCCGATATCCCAAATGTTCTGGTATCAATAAACTATTACTAATTAAATACTTCAACAGCTGGCTTTTCGCAACAAGTTCTAAAGTTTTCTCTAATATGTGCAACATGTTGATGGGACGAAACTCTTCGGCTTTAATCGTTCCAGCAACTTTTTGAATAGGGACCATTATGGATTTCTTTTAAATTTGTGGCACGTGTCCAGTCTGAAATGATTTATTAATAACGTCCAGCAAGGTGTGTCCAATGATATGATAGCAAACTTGAATAACTCTCTAGCATTAACGCTACACTACTTCAGCAGATTTTACTAATGAAAAGCAAATAACTCTAAGTTCATCTAATGTATTTGGATGAAAACCTTCAAATCTACAACTGCTATTAACCGGCTGTTTTATTTCGTCCAAACTTTTGCTTACCTATTTGATTGGTACACTTTTTCAAAGTTTTAGTTAGAACAGCTGTAGATTCATCTAAATTACCGGTCACGAATCGAATATCCAAGCTTCTCTCCAAAAGATTCGAAACAGCCTGTTTCGAATATTACCTCCAGTACTTCGATTTTCCGAAATGTTCGTTATTATTGATAGTATCTAATATTTTAATCACTAAAGTCTCATGATTGGTTATTTTCAAATCACTATCTGTACCTGTGCAAATATAATCAAAATTGGAGTAAATATGATCAATTAAAGTTCTACTGTGCCTGGAAATACCCGTATCTACCATTTGTTTGAAATTGAAGAAAAAAATCAGCTAAACGCTTAAAATGATTCACGCCAATTAATATTAAAATCACCAGCCAATATATTTAATTTAGTACAATCAAGGAATGTCTCGAGTCAGTTCTCTTAAACTTAAACAAAACGCTGGTCACTAGAACTGGGAAAATGATACAAAACACCATAATTACCCATTTTCATGCCACGCACACCTGTAATGGCCAAGCACCAGCTGCCATCAATAACTTCATTGGTACGAAGGTTGAATTGAACTGATTCTTTGACATAAAAAGCAACGCCGCCAGTGTGGTTAGAATGCGATAAACAAGCAGAAACATTATATCCGGGAATACTATACTGATCAAATGCTTCAATTTCGACAATATGAGTTTCTGCTGATAAATCTAAAAGTTGACTTTTTTCCTCAACAATCTGACGTATTGCTACGTAGTTTGTTGACAACCCCGCAATATTCAAATACAAAAAATCGATTTGATTCACATTCTGGGAACTTGGCTGCAAGCTGCTTTTCTTCTGTTCAAAAATTCTTTTATATAGCAAACATTCAGAGCTAAATCTGGCATGCTTGACGTACAAGTTCATTTTACGTTCATTATTCATTTTTAAACTATTAACACATTTCAATACGGGTGCACGACGTTAGGCATACGGTCGTTAGGCATACGGACGTTAGGCATACGTACGTTAGGCATACGGACGTTAGGCATAATGTACGATAGGCATAATGGACGTTGGGCATAAAGGACGTTAGGCATAATGGACGTTAGGCATAATCTACCGGATGAATTCCAGAAGAATGATAATGGAGACCGTCTATTGATTGCTGACTTCGGTGACAATAATGAAAGAGCCTTAATTTTTGGAACTCATGAACGACGTCTTGGACAGGCAAAGTATTGGGTTACAGATGGTACGTTTGCCACAGTTCCTTGTTTGTTTCGGCAACTCGTCACTGTTCATGGAAGTATCGCTCCCTCACATCAGCACACGGTTCCGCTAGTTTTCATGCTGATGACAACAAAATCAGAATCGTTGTATCGAAAAGTATGGCAAGAAACCCTGGAAGCAGCAGGTATGTTTTTTTTTTGTTATTGAATGAAATACCACCACCAATTTCATGAGCTGTTCTTTGGCATCATATTTTATTCAACCTTGGCTGTTTTTTTTTGTTATTGAATAAAAAATCACAGAATTCACCATTCTTTATTTCATGAGCTGTTCTTTGAGGAAAACCTTTTCTTCTTTGACTTTTGCAATATGTGTGTAAGAATATATTACAACAAATGTGTGATTTTTTTATTTCTAGATGCGATTGATTTCAAGATATAGTTCAAAACTAAGCTGAGTTTTCATTGTAAGATTACCTAACCACTATCGCTACTAATCATGGATCTAAGTAAATATGTAGATACGTCACTTATGATATGAAAAATAATGGATTCCAAACTGTGCTTATTAAATAAACTATGTTTGTTTAACTTGTATCATTTTTTATTCAACGCTAAGCCTAATTTAAGCATTGTTTACAGGTTTACAGGTTAAGCAGGTTTCTAGAGTTGCACAGCAGCAAGGTATTTTATGCCTAACGTCCATTATG